TTAGAGTTGCAGAATTAAGTTTGGTGTCATGAAATATATCACCAGAAGAACGTTGATTATAAAATGAAGAAGAACAAGAAGAAATTGATGCACACAGCACACTATATATATAACTAATGTTAGTTAGGATATCATATATATCCTAAAATATATTCTTGTGTATATTCCTATATAGTTATGATATTCTAGATATCGATAGACATGAACATTTGTATATATACACAACTGTGATCAATGAAATATCCATCGAATCATTTACACTTTCATGGTATCAGAAGCTTTTCTTCGATCCTACCTTCCCTAAAAATCGCCATCTCTTGCGATAATCTCTTCTCTTCTATCTCTCTCTTCGTTCTTCTCTCTTCTCTCCTCTTCTTTAACCTCGTCTTCTCACCATGGATGCTCTACACCCCACCACCGATAAACCTTTTGGCATCAGTCAGATTCGGGCATACATCCCTATTGTCCTTGATCTTGAAAAGATGAACTATGATGTGTGGAGAGAAATCTTTGAAACCCATTGTCTTACCTTCGGTGTCCTTGATCATCTCGATGGTACCTCTGTTGCAACACCGGACACAGAGAAAACCTAGAAGGAACGAGACGGACTTGCGAAAATGTGGATCTACGGAACCATAACCCCCTAACTAGTCGAAACAATCCTCACCCCAAAGAGTACCGCCCGTGATCTCTGGTTGGCGCTTGAGAATCTGTTTCGTGATAACAAGGAGAACCGAGCTATTCAGCTCGAGAATGAGCTTCGTACAATCACAATTGGCAACCTCTCCATCCAAGAATACTGCCGCAAACTAAAGTCACTATCCGATCTTCTTGCCAATGTGGAGTCACCTGTAATAGATCGTCAGCTCATAATGCATTGTCTCAATGGCCTCAACGACAAATTCGAGGGAATCCATAATGTCATCCGAAATCGCACCCCGTTTCCCAGCTTTCACACAACCCGATCTATGTTACTTGCAGAAGAAGAAAGGCTCAACAAACAACCTCGACCCGCCGTTACCACCACCGATAACTCATCATCACCAAATGTGCTTTTTGCTTCGGATAACACATCCTCTGACTCTTCACCTCGACAAACCAACAACAATAATAACAGAGGAAACAACAACCGGGGACGACACAATAATAACCGTGGTGGAGGCCGTGGAAACAGAGGAAGAGGGCGCTATAACAACTATCACAACTCGGCTCCTCAGAACTTCGGTTATCCTCCGTGGACTTTTCCGCACCAACAGCAGTGGACTTTTCCCTACTTCCATGGTGGTCCACAAATGATGCCGTTTGCTCTGCCGTACAATCCAGCCGCAACTTCCTCCTCTGCACCTAAGCAGCCCAGCATTCTTGGACCGTACTCTCCCCAACCTCAAGCTCACGTAGCTCAGAACGTTTCACCCACAGCCGTGATGCCTACACTCATCCCATCATCTCTTGCGCACGCATTCAATACAATGAGCTTACAAAACCCGACTGACTTGGCTTGGTATATGGATAGTGGAGCTACTAACCACATCACGACTCAGCCAGGTATGCTCTCGTCTGTGTTTAACATGAGTATCTTTCCTTCGGTCCGTGTCGGTGAAGGATCTATTGCGCCAGTTACTAAAATGGGAAATGTTATCTTGCCTTCTAATTCTTCTAAAAAATTCTCACTCTAAAATGTGCTTGTTTGTCCTTCTTTTATTAAGAATCTCATTTCAGTTCGTCAATTTGTTACTCAAAAGTGTACTGTCGAATTTGACCCGTTTGGTTTCACTGTTAAGGATCTTCTGACCAGGACCAACTCCTCCGATGTGATAGCTCTGGACCACTCTACTCAGTGACGCCTTCATCACCTCTGCGTTCCCCTCTTGCTCTAACCGCAGATGGCTCTCTCTGGCATAGGCGTCTAGGTCATCCGGGTGGTTCTATTAGTCGTGCTTTACATTCTTTGGGTTTTTCCAATAATAATGCAGATGTGACAGGTTTGTGTCATGCATGCAAGTTGGGTAAACATGTTCGCCTTCCTTTTACTTCTCCATCTTCTATTGTTTCTGAACCTTTTCAAATAATACATTCCGATATTTGGACTTCTCTTGTTTTAAGCAATTCAGGTTACAAGTATTATCTCATTTTTCTTGATCATTTTACTCACTTTGTATGGGTCTATCCATTACATCGTAAAAGCGACACATATGCTAAATATCTTCATTTTTCATCCTATGTTCGCACTCAGTTTCGTACCACGATCAAAGCGCTTCAGTGCGACAACGGTGGTGAATATACAAGTTGTCTCTTTCTTGACCATTTATCATCCACCGCCACTGGCATTCGTCTCTCATGCCCGCATACCTCCCAACAAAACGGGCGTGCTGAACGGATGTTGCGCACGATCAACAATCTTGTTCGTACTTTTCTCATTCAAGCGAACATGCCACCTAGCTTTTGGGTCGAAGCTCTTCTCACGGCAGTACACACACTCAATCTCCTCCCTTCTTTCTGCTATTAATAACTCAACCCCTTTCTCTCGTCTATTTAATTTACCCACTTCGTATTCTCATTTGCGCGTTTTTGGTTGCCTATGCTTTCCTAACACTTTGTCTACTTCTATTCATAAACTTGCTCCTCGCTCAGTGGCGTGTGTGTTCTTAGGGTACCCCACTAACCATCGGGGATACCGTTGTCTCAACATTGCAACACGAAAGATTGTTATATCACGCCACGTAACCTTTGTCGAGGACGTCTTCCCTTTCTCAACCTTACCTACATCACCAAGCCTTCCTACTCCATCAATTCTTCCACCTCTCTTAACTCCACCACCTATCATCCCACCTCCTCCTCTTACACCCCCTGCGGTTGGCACCATTCCGCCAACTACAAATCAAAAAAACCATCCGATGGTCACTCGGAGTAAAGCCGGTATTTCAAAACCTCGGGTCCCTCTTTGCCTTCATACAGACACTATTTCTCCTCTTCCTTTCTCTCATGTGCAGGCCGCAAAAGATCCTCACTGGCATGGTTCTATGTGTGAGGAACATGATGCTCATATTAAACGCGGTACGTGGGCTCTGGTGCCTCGGCCTCCTAAGGGTACTAACATTTTACGTTCTATGTGGCTATATCGTCACAAGTTCAATGCAGATGGAACGCTGAAACGATACAAGTCTCGACTAGTGGTGAATGGCAAATCGCAGAAGCCGGGCATTGATTGTGAAGAAACATTCAGTCCAGTTATCAAACCAGCAACAATACGAACGGTGCTGCATCTTGTTGTCTCTCGAAACTGGCCTCTTCATCAACTCGACGTCAAAAATGCCTTCCTTCACGGCGATCTTGAAGAAACAGTCTATATGCATCAACTCTCGGGTTTCACTGACAAAGCTTATCCTAACCATCTTTGCTTACTTAAACGTTCATTGTATGGTCTTAAACATGCACCGCGCACTTGGTACACAACATTTGCAACGACCGTTAAGCAGCTTGGCTTTCGTCAAAGTCGCACTGATCCATCTTTGTTCGTGTTCAACAATGGCAAACAGATGGTTTACATTCTCCTCTACGTTGATGACATCATACTCACTGGAACAACGCAAGCTTTAGTCAACACCACCATCAAGGCGCTTTCCTCTGCTTTTGATATCTCCGATCTGGGCCGCCTCCATCATTTCCTCGGCTTGGCAATCACCTACAATGAGACGGGTCTGTTTCTCAGTCAACAAAATTATGTTGCAGATATCCTTCATCGCGCTTCCATGACAAACTGCAAACCATGCCTAACACCGGTCGACACAAAATCCAAGTTAGCTGCCGATGATGGTCCGCGTGTCAAAGATCCCTCTCTCTATTGTAGTCTAGCCGGTGCTCTCCAGTACTTGACGTTCACGCGCCCAGATATCTCATATGCCGTCCAACAAGTATGCTTGTTCATGCATGATCCGCACGAACAACACTTCAATGCACTAAAACGAGTCCTCCGCTACATCAAAGGCACGCTAAAGCATGGTCTTCAGATCACTAAGTCCTCCACGACTGACATGATCGCGTACTCATATGCTGACTAGGCGGGATGTCCTGATTCACGTTGATCAACCTCCGGTTACTGTGTCTTTCTTGGAGATAGCCTCATCGCATGGTCTTCAAAACGCCAGAACACTGTTACGCGATCCAGCGCCGAAGCAAAGTATCGCGGTGTGGCAAACGCAGTGGCTGAGACAACGTGGCTTCGCAACTTACTCTTCGATCTTGGCTGTCCTCTTTCTGAAGCGACAATAGTGTACTGCGACAACATATCCGCCGTGTATCTATCGTCCAATCCGGTTCATCACCAGCGAACCAAACACATTAAGATTGACATACATTTTGTTCGAGAACGAGTTTCATTAGGCCACGTCCGTGTCCTTCACGTCCCGTCACATCTCCAGTATGCGGACATCTTCACCAAATGACTACCTTCTTCATTGTTCACCGGATTTCGCTCCAGCCTGAGCGTTCGAGAACCTCCGCTCTGACTTTGGGGGAGTGTTAGTTAGGATATCGTATATATCCTAAAGTATATTCTTGTGTACATTCCTATATAGTTACAATACTCTAGATATCGATAGACATGAACACTTGTATCTATACACAACTGTGGTCAATGAAATATCCATCGAATCATTTACACTTTCAACTAATACATCAATTCGTTTCAACAATTAATTACATGTCTCTTTATTGAATCAGATTCTTTAGAGTTGCAGAATTAAGTTTGGTGCCATGAAATATCTTAACTTTTACCAGAAAAGATATCACCAGAAGAACTTTGATTATAAAATGAAGAAGGACCAGAAGAAATTGATACACACTACATATATTATTTCTTTAACACACCATATATGTATTATTTGTTTTACATATATATATTCCCCGAGATCTTTTTTTATTAAACAATCTCCGGGATTTATTCATTACATTATGGTGTATTAGTTCACAACATAACTTATAAACGGCAAGAAGTTGCTGAGTTAACAATAACTAGCAACAGAAATGACTTCAAAGTCAACTCCCACGTACAGCTTATCATTCACCAGATAAGGCTCAACAAGTTTCGTGAGACACATGAAATCTGCAAAGCCCTTAGATGTCTCCAACCAACCGGAACCTAAAAACAAAGAGCACAATATATATATAATAGTTTTTTCAAGAATTATATAAAATAGTATTTAAAATTGCGCATCCATACATGTTTTCTCAACATGATTGCGGTTAACTTGATCCAACACCCTCAGCTTAAATTTCGCGTAAGTCTTTTTATTTGGCGCATTGTTGATAAACCCTTCTCCTAAAAGGTAGACAGAAAATGACTCATCTTTTTCTTTCTCAAACCCTCTTGGATGAATTTGAATTCTCCTGATCAAGCACTCACACACGACATGCAACGTCTTCAGTATATGATACATTTTTTTTTAATTATTATAATTTGTGTATAATATAAGATAGTAACTGATCACCATTTCCTGTTTCCAACGACAAATTCATGAGAATGATGAGCCTTCTGAGGGTCGAAAGACGAGAACCTGGTCATCATCCAAGTGACTTTGTGGTTGGTAGGCTGCTCAATTAAGCTAAAACATTCGGCTGTTCCGGTTTCAGCCGCAGGTTCAATCCCATGAAGCTTGACACCACACATAAAACAATCTTCAATAAGGTACCCCTTCTTCTCAAGATCAACAAGAGATGCAATTTTTTTAACTCCCTTGGCAACCGGTCGTGAATAGATACCAAATTTTTCGTGGCCTGCACAGATAATACATCAACATATCGACCACAGATACATATAGACAAATATATATGTATATAACTAGAGAGAAAGAGAGACCATAAGATTTCGCGTTTGGCTCTAATTGACTGACGATAAAGATCTCAAATTTGATCTTTACATTTACCGAAGCTTGACTCTTTAAGAAGATTGAGACAAAACCCTTTTCATTACGCCCATTTGGATAGACAACAACTGTCCTGGTTTCATATATTAAGTCAAGAAAGGTTAAAATGTTTTTATTTTATTTTTAACAAGTGTTTTTTGAAGGAAAAATAAATGTTAAAGAAAAAGAAAGCTCACCATTTGTGACCACCAAGATCGAAAACAGAGGATTCCACCCTTTCGATTTGGTATTTATTGAGTAACGAGAAGTTGTCTATCTTAAACAAGTAACTTGTTGGGTGGCTTGATTTGAACAGTCTCACCATTTCTGTGAAGAAGAGATTACATTACAACGTGGAATTAATACTAATAAAAAGAGACTCAAAGGTATAAAGATAGTCTCACCTTCAATGGGTATTGGTCGCGACATTGTAACGAAATTGCAGATGATATGGAACTGATTATTTTTCCTTTTTTTTTTTGAACTGATTCTTAAATGAAGTCTTATAATTATATCTGAAGATGCAAGTCTAATAGCTCTATCTATAGGAATTACAAGATGTCATGTTTTTTTTCCGTATGTTAACGTTGATAACACGCTACAATGAGATTCGATACTATAAGCACCATGCATATTTACGTCACATCTTTTGAGCATATATTCACGTGGAATTATATAATCCTCATGGGTTTTGTTTATTTTATTAGTTTCTTGGCATGTTTTACTGGTTTTTTTCTCTTAGAATTCTTCATGGAGATTTAGATTATATCAATGGTGTCTTTGAAGCCGATCGAGAGGATCAATTCACAGAATTTCACACCAATCCTTGCAAGTCATCATTAATGGTGATTCAGTAAGAAGCGATCTCTAAGTTTTGTTTTTCTTCTTTTTTTTTTTCGTATGTCAGTTCGATATAAACGTGAAATGATGATGTCTCTTATAATAGAATGGAGTGTATACGTCTAGTGAATTTTTAGTTCGTCCCTAGAGTTATCTGTATGATTACAGAATACTCTGTTAGAAGGATGTAACGATTGAGTCTTTGTATTAGTCTCCTTTTTTCTCTTCCTTTTTTGTACATTGTTTGAGTTTACAATGAAGCATCACTAAGGAAGTTATAAAAATTTTAAAGTTATGATCCTTGTTACATTAATCACTTGGAATTTCAAAATAACATTGTTACGGAATAATTGGTAGCAATCTGTCTACTTCTCAAAATTTTCAACGAAATCAATGTACTTCGCAATGTAATATGAAGTAAAAGTGTCTACGAAGAGAAAAAAAGACCAAATACAACTTTTGCATAATAAAATCAGTATCGAATATGAAATGTAACGGATTAATAATCCGTTTACGAGTAAGGCTAAAAAGCATTGACAATTCACATATTTATTTAAATGTCTTCAACTTAAGAACGCATATACATGTAAATATGTAATAGTTTATATCAATAATTTTTTTTTGTAACTTGCTTTAGTATATCAATAGTTCTGTGATGACTTTATATATTTCACTTAGATAATAAAACTTTAGCTGGCAAAAAAAAAAAATTCAACAGGGTAAAATCATATATAGATCAATTTACAGTTTTCAATTCATTTTCACTAAAGTTGGTTTCGCTTCGGATTTAGTTCTTTTTTCATTCAATTTCAATATATGTGGAATCAGTATATAAACTTAAAAACTTTTTGTTGATTACCTTTAAACTAAAATATATTGTAATCAAGTAAATGCCTATAATTAGTCATTACAGGACCACAGCCAAGTGAATGTCATTCTCATGTCTCTGTATCGTGAATTACACATCGCATCTTTAGAGAACATACCAAGAATTCGAAAACCGGCCTTATCTTGAAACTATGCGATAAAAGATTCCACACTTCTTATAGGCACGTATGCTTAATCTTATTATAGAAAAGAGAATAGAAAAAGAAAACAAAACTAAGCAATTTATACACTAAATTTTATATAAGAGTTTATAATTAATACCTTGGATCATACAAAAAAAAAAATAATACCTTGTAGTGTAATGATTATGAACAAAACTTTTCTTTTCTTAGACATCTAATTACATAAGGCCAATTGTTTTCCTTAAGTAAAAAACACAACCCATTCCCAAAACGAAATACCAAACAAAAATTTGTTGTTCCTTAAATTTCATAGTAATTAAATCACTAAGTATCAGAGAAGTAAGGGTAATAACCTCAGTACATTGCTTCTAGATTTGGTGTTTTAGTTTGAGAAAGTAAGATGAACAAAAAAAAAAAATGTTGGTAGCCTCATATTGATACAACATTTTAAGAGGCACTTTAACCTTTCTTCCAACAAATCATCATTGGTGTTAAAGCATATTACATGTTTTACAAGGTTGTGTTGAAAAACTTAGTCAAATTTAGTAAAATTAAGGCTGAAAAAAATATTTTGAGAATATGAGATTTACATATCATGAAGTTATTTAACACTTTTAAAAATACAAGTAATTCAAAAAATATTTTTATCACTTTATTCAACCAAGAAAATTTAGTAAAATTCAAAGAAGATCAAACATTCAGCTAGAAGACTTTCCAAATGACTTAATTATTAGTCATCTAAGAAGACTAACACAAATTCTTAATACATACTCATAAAGTCTGGACGACTTAGTAGAAGACTTATAATTAAGTCTTCTGGAAAGTCATCCAGTTAGAAGACTTTCTAAATGACTTAATTATTAGTCATCTGAGAAGACTAACACAAATTCTTAATACATACTCATAAAGCCTGGACGACTTAGTAGAAGACTTATAATTAAGTCTTCTGGACATTCATCTAGCTGGAAGAATTTCCAGATGACTTAATTATTAGTCATCTAAGAAGACTAACACAAATTCTTAATATATACCTTATAAAGCCCAGACGACTTAGTAGAAGACTAATAATTAAGTCGTCTGGAAAGTCATCCAGCTGGAAAACTTTCCAGATGACTTTATTATTATTCATTGACGCAGACGACATACAAGTAAGTCGTCCAGACGACATACAAGTAAGTCGTCCAGACGACATACAAGTAAGTCGTCCAGACGACTTAACCGTAAGTCATCCAGACGACTTAACCGTAAGTCGTCCAGACGACTTAACTGTAAGTCTTCCAGACAGGTCATTTTTGCAATTGAAATTTAAATGAGACGACTTAATTCTAAGTCGTCCAGCTTTGTATGTTAAAAAAAAAATCTAGACGACTTATAAGTGAGTCGTCTAGGAAAAACGGGCTAGTTTTGCATTTGACCGAATTGTGTCAGATATTTGACTTTTCTTGGATGATTACCAGTAAGTCGTCTCCGGGAAAGTTAAAATTTCAATATTTTATTAAATCTAGACGACTTACGGATCAGTCATCTTAGGTTAGTTTTGTAATTGAAAAATAAAACTTTAATTTTAATTTTTCCCAGAAGACTTAATTTAAAGTCGTCCAGTCAGACGACTTATTCTAAAGTCGTCCGAGATAAGTAAAGTTTGACCGGAAAAAAATCTGGACGACTTTAGAATAAGGTATCTGCAAAGTCCTTAGACTAATGGGCCGCATATCCTTCATCTCCGTAGGATGTAAAATTTTTGGTAGCAAAAAGAGCTGAGTGTGATTCCATCCTGCCGGAAGCACGGCTGTTTGGAAGAATCCTTGAACATCATCAATAATTTTCTGACCCACAATGTGCCAATATTTTTGATAGAAGAAACAAGTCAACCCATCTTCACCAGGGGCACTACTACTTTTAATACCAAATGCTGCATTCTTGATTTCATCATGGGAAACCTCTCTAGTTAATAGTGAGTTCATCTCTAATGTAACCCTACTTTGAAACCCATCGAACAAAGTTTCCAAATCACTTGGATTTGAACTTGTAAACAGCTCTCTGAAATATTCAGTAGCAATATGTCCTTTAGACCCTTCTGAATAATTCTCATTCCCGAAAATATCTTTCAGCATTAAAATTTTATTCTTCATTTTTTTCCTTTCACCACATTATGGAAATATGTTGTATTTCTATCTCCTTCCCTTAACCATTCTTCACTACTCTTTTGCCTCCAAAAGATTTCCTCTTCCCTATAGGCCGTAGCCAAGTCATTTCTCAAACGCCTGAGCAACCCATAAATTGGGAATTGCTTGGAGCTTTCTCTATCCAAATCTCTCTGTAACCGTTATGTTCTCATTTTGGAATTCCAATCAGAAGTCTTTTTAAGCTTAGATAATTCCGACCTGCACCGAGCTATACGATCCAATACGCTAAGATTTGAGTCAATATTCTCAACGTCCCATCCTCGTACAATGGCTTCCTCTACCCCTCTTTTACCATGCATACGTCTATCAAAATAAAACCGCCCCCTTTGCAAATTCTCAGGTTCAAGGGCGAAGTCTAACCGTAAGGGTCGATGGTCCGACGGCCACATACTCATATAATCTGTAGACGACTGCGGAAAAAGGCGAAACCATTCATCATTGCCAAAAGTCCGATCTAAATGACACTGCACCCAATGATGATCCCGCATACCTGCCCATGAAAGGGTATTTCCCGTGGTCCTCGTTTCCCTAATTTTACATGCTTCAGCCATATTCCAGAAATCAAAAAACGTGGTTTCCTCTCTAATGGCTCCTCCCAATTTTTCCCCATTATGCATAAGTTCATTAAAGTCACCAATCAGGACCCATGCCTCATCTCTAACTACTCCAATATCCGTTAACTTATCCCAAACATAACGTCTTCTACTTCTTACTGGATCCCCATATACACATGAAAGGTAAAAAACAATGGACCCTATTGTCACCTTAAGATCGATAATCTTATTATTACTAGAGAGGATTTCAACTGTATAACAACCTTTCCACATTAAAGCTAAACCACCGCTGCGACCAGCGGGTTCCACCGTGTGTATCCGATCATACCCCAAGCTAGATTTTAAAGCATCCATATATGCTAATTTTTGTTTAGTCTCCATGAGAAAAAGAAAATCTGGAAAGAACTGACGTCGTAAATCTCTTAATCGTTGAACGGTGTCAGAACCTCACGCCCCCCCCCCCCGACAATTCCAACTCAAAATACTCATTAAATTTTTTTTTTGTTTTTTAATTTTTTTTAAATAAACTCTTTAGAGCCCGGATTAATAGATAATGATATCCCAATCATTAAATCTATAAATTCTAAATAAAAACCAAGGAAATACCATACAAATTGTCCGCCGCTGAGACTTTGTGAGGACAAACCCGTGAAACCTATAATGGAGTTTTTTTGAAATAAACGTAAGCCATAATACATCATACAACCGTAGGTCCACAAAACAAACGGAACATAAGAAATGTAGTCCCATATATAACTTTTCAGGTTCGTATAATATCAATTCCCAAAGCTCAATACATGAAAGGTAACTAAAAGAATGATAGCACCAATATAATATTCCTTGTTGCCTTTGGAGTGAATCCTTGACTAGAGCTAAAAAACTAGAAAAATCACGAGCAGGAAGAAGCTTAAACCCTTGCTGCAAAGGAAGAACCAAGATGAAAATAACTTCAGCTTCCCGTTGACCACCTGTATCAGTCATCAGACTAGAATTAATATTCAAGAAACCCTTCTTTTGGGTGCATAACACAAGATAAACCGTAACCCTTAAATATTGAAACCCAAGACCAACACACATATTCCAAGCAAAAGAAAAAGACAAATTCCAAGCAAGAGGAAGCTCAGGCCCTTGTTGCTGAGGAGAAACCAAAATGATAATAAATTCAGCTTCTAGTTGACATTCTGTATCTGTCATCGAACTAGATTTTTTATTTAAAACTCCTTTCTTTTGCATGCAAAACACTCGATAACCCTTGAACCTTAAACATTGAAACCCAAGGCTAATATACATCTCAATCAATATCATCATATTCTTGTCCTGTACCCAGAATAACCACCTAATACCAAACCACCAATCAAAGAAAATAACCTCACATAGCAAGTCTTCACACCAACTATGAGTACATGATACCATGCTATTCTCCTCCTTTGACCATCTGTCAATATACTTATCAAACGAAATCATCCGACTTTCTTCCTGTGTCCAAAGTAAACAAAGAGTACCAAACCGTCGATGATAAAAATAAACCTCACAGAGCAAGAGCTCCCACCAAACATGAATAAGATCGATATTTGTCCAAAACCTTCTTGTGAATCTCATCTTTAGCTCACCAAATGCATAGACTTGAGATTTCATACCTAAATCCAACTTCTCAAGAGCCATATAGCAATTCATTACAAGAAACCACCACCAAAGCAATGTAGCAGTAGCTAAAGGGCACTCGATTTGCATACTGTCACAAACATATTTTGATAATATTAAAATAACAGTGGGACGACACAAAACTAGAGCAAACAATTCGCCAGAAGACCCCGGAGACAACCTTTTATTCATAGTAAGTAATAGAGGTAGTATCCTACGGCATAGAACACTAAGTAAAAAACCCCAACCACAGGTAAAGCAGCAACAAAAAAAGCTCCATGGTACCTCATCACAGAACCATTCAGCTGAGTCCTTTCCGAAAGAATCTATACAGGATAAGCATTTACTCAAGAAAGAATGAGGAATATGATGTTCAGTAACAAGTAAATAGACTGAAACAGAGCAAGAATGATAACAAAAATCCAGAATTTGAACCTCCAAAGACCATGAACCAAGAGAACCATAAACCATAAATTCCCATACAAACCGAGAATCAAAAAGGAGATGAGAAACCATTTTATTAATTGAGTTAAGTAAACTCTCAAAGGGCATTACCCTAAAGGCTTGAACCAGCAACAAAACATAACAACAATAGCAATATCTTATAAATGGTGCAAAAGAAACAAACTTATCGAAGCAGGATTTTATAATCAAATCCAACATTATTCAAATAAAAGGAACTTAAACAGTCTCGGACCAGAGAACCTTACTGAGGGGGAATCTTAGGCTTACCAGTACCCTTCTTGGTACCTTTCTCACCAACCTTTGTGGCCGCTTGTGCCAACAGTTTCTTGCATGGAGAAGCAAACACTGGAGCACCTCTTTTTTTGGAAGGGCCTACTACACCTACATTACCATTCTTATTCTTAAACTTGTCATCAAGTGTTTCATCCATCAACTTATTTGTGTCTCCCAAATCCTTTGCTTCCATGGTCGTGAGAGTGTGCTCTTTAGAGATCTCCAAATCAGCCAGGGCTTGGTCATTGTGAACCATATCTTGTTCCTCCAAAAGATCAGTTTCAACACCTTGTTCCCAATCCTCGAACTCACCATCCTTAACCATCAGCTCCGAATCAGACAACATAACCCCTTCCGCCATTAAATCATCACCATCCTCCTCAGATTGACTTTGCTTTGTCTTTTCCAGTTTCCTCTCCATTGTCCTTGGCCACTGGTATCACATCGGTTTCCTGAGGATGATTATCCACAACAGCCTTTGATATCTCCTCATCCTCAAAAAGCAGAGCTCTACGTGCCTTTGATGCAGTACCACCCGCTGCATCTTTGTCAGTTTGAACCTTACCCACTGGAGGCGATTCATGAGCACCTGTAAAAGCATCGAGCATGAGCTTCTCTGGATTTTCGATATCATCATGACCTCCATTAACCTGAGCTAGTTGTGGTACCCTCACTTGATTTCCAAGCCTTTTATTATTACCATACTATGTCGCCTTATTGCCCCTTGATCCTTTCTCACGATAAGGGTGATAAGAACCTTCCATTCTCACTTCTCCTTGAGTGTCTTTAGCAAGACCTTTGCCTTTGTCACCGCCTCTATAACCTTGGTAACGGTTTTGTTGACCATCTCTGCGGCCACCATTCTATCTCTCACCATGGACCACTGCTCCTTTATAGCTAGAAACCAGTGCTCCATCAATAGTTGGAGCAGCACCAATAGAAACCTCATGAACATCTTTGATCAACGTCGGGCACACCGACCTATCATGTGTGAGGCAAAAACATTCCGTGCAATAGCCAATGAATCTTTCGTACCTTAGTTTGACCGTAATCTCCACTCCTCCTATCTTAATCGTAGCCGAGAATACCAAAGGCTTGAAACCGTCTATCTCCACACGGACCTTACCTTCAACGAGGTCCACCGGCTCTTGGACCTGTCCCAAAGCTTTTCCTACTCCTTCAAAAACTTGAGGAACACGGAATTGAAGCGGCATGTCTTGGACATGGACCCAAAACGTGATACGAGATGGATAGTTCGGCTCCAAAACAGGTTTCCATCTCACCAAAGCCACCATCCATTTGTCAAAATGGAAAGGCTCCATCTTGAGCACCTCCACAATGTCTTCTTCCAACTCAAAATTGAACTGGAAACGACCTAACCCCAGATCAACTCCCACAACACGGCCCTCGACACCCCAAAACCTCGGAAATAAGAACAACAAGGTCTTCATATCTTGCACCGGCGGATTCATACACCTTCCTATCAGTGTCTTCGAGTAGCTGGCAATGAGAGCAGAGTTATCGAAGCTTGGAATGGAGACCTTCAGCCTTGGCTTCGCCTCTTCCACTTTCTTGCCATTTGACTTAGCAATCCAACTCCCCTGAGACATGATATAACCCAAGAAAAAGATACAAGGAGTAAGAATCACCAAGGAGCGAAATGAAATCAAGAGTAATGTGGTGACAACAGACAGAGTAAGCAACTCCTTATATAACCTATTGAAATTGTGAAGAATCTTAAAACAATCATCAATTCCTTGATACCAAATAAAAAAATCGGATCTCAAAGAATCACTAAATGAAAACCATTTGATACCCAGAATTTCTGTAATCAACTTCACTAAGCTAGAAACTATAATAAAATCCAAATCAAAGAGGTCATCACGACCAAATTTAGAACTAAAAATAAACCATTTAGACACTATTTTCCTTATCAAGTTCTCACAAAGGGAAAGAAAACCAAAGTTTGATAAGAGTCGACCTGCTTTGATGACAGAGTAAATAAAGAACCCGAGATACCTAATCAAAACGCCGATCTCAAATCCGGAATTGATATCCCTAGAACACCCGATCTTCGAGCCAAGGAGATTTTGTTTTAAATCCAAACCACCATCTAGACTAGCCTTGATAGTATCGCTGGAAATTGATTTACCAATCAAAATATTCTCATAGCCTTTCCAGACCTGGAATTGACAGTGAGATATCGTATCTCACAATGATATTGTGGAGATAGCTCAATCTCACCAAATCCCATAAAAACCGAATCCCAATTGGGATATCCATAGACCGACAAAAACCTTATCTCTTTATTCCACCTTACAGATCTGAAAAATCGGATCCTCCAACCCATAACCTGACATCCCCTCGACCATCGTTTACCAATAATCCCTGGAACTACCCATCGAACCATAGAAATCGGCTAAATCGCCTTTGTTATCGCCATCGCCTTTTCTTTTGGATAATTTTCTAAAGTAGGTCTGACTCAAGCATAACTAATACATCAATTCGTTTCAACAGTTAAATACATGTCTCTTTATTGAATCAGATTCTTTAGAGTTGCAGAATTAAGTTTGGTGTCATGAAATATATCAGCAGAAGAACGTTGATTATAAAATGAAGAAGAACCAGAAGAAATTGATGCACACAGCACACTATATATATAACTAATACATCAATTTGTTTCAACAATTAAATACATGTCTCTTTATTGAATCAGATTCTTTAGAGTTGCAGAATTAAGTTTGGTGTCATGAAATATATCACCAGAAGAACGTTGATTATAAAATGAAGAAGAACCAGAAGAAATTGATGCACACAGCACACTATATATATAACTAATACATCAATTCGTTTCAACAATTAATTACATGTCTCTTTATTGAATCAGATTCTTTAGAGTTGCAGAATTAAGTTTGGTGCCATGAAATATCTTAACTTTTACCAGAAAAGATATCACCAGAAGAACTTTGATTATAAAATGAAGAAGGACCAGAAGAAATTGATACACACTACATATACTATTTCTTTAACACACCATATATGTATTATTTGTTTTACATATATATATTCCCCGAGATCTTTTTTTATTAAACATTCTCCGGGATTTATTCATTACATTATGGTGTATTAGTTAGCAACATAACTTATAAACGGCAAGAAGTTGCTGAGTTAACAATAACTAGCAACAGAAATGACTTCAAAGTCAACTCCCACGTACAGCTTATCATTCACCAGATAAGGCTCAACAAGTTTCGTGAGACACATGAAATCTGCAAAGCCCTTAGATGTCTCCAACCAACCGGAACCTAAAAACAAAGAGCACAATATATATATATATATAATAGTTTTTTCAAGAATTATATAAAATAGTATTTAAAATTGCGCATCCATACATGTTTTCTCAACATGATTGCGGTTAACTTGATCCAACACCCTCAGCTTAAATTTCGCGTAAGTCTTTTTATTTGGCGCATTGTTGATAAACCCTTCTCCTAAAAGGTAGACAGAAAATGACTCATCTTTTTCTTTCTCAAACCCTCTTGGATGAATTTGAATTCTCCTGATCAAGCACTCACACACGACATGCAACGTCTTCAGTATATGATACATTTTTTTTTAATTATTATAATTTGTGTATAATATAAGATAGTAACTGATCACCATTTCCTGTTTCCAACGACAAATTCATGAGAATGATGAGCCTTCTGAGGGTCGAAAGACGAGAACCTGGTCATCATCCAAGTGACTTTGTGGTTGGTAGGCTGCTCAATTAAGCTAAAACATTCGGCTGTTCCGGTTTCAGCCGCAGGCTCAATCCCATGAAGCTTGACACCACACATTAAACAATCTTCAATAAGGTGCCCGTTCCTCTCAAGATCAACAAGAGATACATTTAGTTTAACCCCCTTGGCAACCGGTCGTGAATGGATACCAAATTCTTGGTGGCCTGCACAGATAACACATCAACATATCGACCATAGATACATATAGACAAATATATATGTATATAACTAGAGAGAAAAAGAGACCATGAGATTTCCAGTTTCGCTCTAGTTGACTGACGATAAAGATCTCAAATTCGATCTTTTCATTTACCGAAGCTTGACTCTTTAAGAGGATTGAGACAAAACCCTTTTCATTACGCCCATTTGGATAGACAACAACTGTCCTGGTTTCATATAGTAAGTCAAGAAAGGTTAAAATGTTTTTTTTTAACAAGTGTGTTTTGAAGAAAAAATTAAATGTTAAAGAAAAAGAAAGCTCACCATTTGTGACCACCAAGATCGAAAACAGAGGATTCCACCTTTTCGATTTGGTATTTATTGAGTAACGAGAAGTTGTCTATCTTAAACAAGTAACTTGTTGTGTGGCGTGATTTGAACAGTCTCACCATTTCTGTGAAGAAGAGATTACATTCAAAGATATAAAGAGACTCAAAGGTATAAAGATAGTCTCACCTTCAATGGGTATTGGTCGCGACATTGTAACGAAATTGCAAATGATATGGAACTGATTATTTTTCCTTTTTTTTTTTGAACTGATTCTTAATTGAAGTCTTATAATTATATCTGAAGATGCAAGTCTAATAGCTCTATTTATAGGAATTACAAGATGTCATGTTTTTTTTTCGTATGTTAACGTTGATAACACGCTACAATGAGATTCGATACTATAAGCACCATGCATATTTACGTCACATCTTTTGAGCATATATTCACGTGGAATTATATAATCCTCATGGGTTTTGTTTATTTTATTAGTTTCTTGGCATGTTTTACTGTTTTTTTTCTGCTTAGAATTCTTCATGGAGATTTAGATTATATCCAGTGCCGGCTAAGTGGAGGGGACAATCGGTGCGACCGTTCCGGATCCTAACGAGTGTCCCCCCTTATATCAATGACTAAGGGGTCCAATTTTTTTATAAATACATATTTTTATATAGAAAAAATTAAAATTTTAATAACTAATTTTGAAAAGGGGCCTAATAATATTTCATAAGTATATAATTTTATTTTCTATCACAAAATATTACTGATTAAATTGTAAAAAGCAAAAAAAAAAATTTAATATTGAATAAACATAAATTTTAAAAGGTAAAAAAAAATTTTTGCCCTAGAGCCCCTGAAAATTTTATTTTATTAGTTTCTTGGCATGTTTTACTGTTTTTTTTCTGCTTAGAATTCTTCATGGAGATTTAGATTATATCAATGGTGTCTTTGAAGCCGAAGAAGCCGATCGAGAGGATCAATTCACAGAATTTCACACCAATCCTTGCAAGTCATCATTAATGGTGATTCAGTAAGAAGCGATTTCTCTAGGTTTTGTTATTCTTTTTCTTTTTTACGTCAGTTCGATATAAACGTGATATGAAATGATGATGTCTCTTATAATAGAGTGGAGTGTACACGTCTAGTGAATTTTTAGTTCGTCCCTAGAGTTATCTGCATGATTACAGAATACTCTGTTAGAAGGATGTAACGATGGAGTCTTTGTGTTAGTCTCCTTTTTTCTCTTCCTGTGTCATCTCTAGAAAATCAGTTTTGAGTTTACAATGAAGCATCACTAAGGAAGATATACAAATTTTAAAGTTATGATCTTTGTTACATCAACAGGGCCGGCTCAACATTTATTCGGGCCCTCGGGCGAAATTTTTTAAATTTTTTTAATATTTATAGTTATTAAAAGTTTAAATATATTCTAAAATTTTTATCATTAATATCTTTATAAATTTTATGGTAAAAATAAATCATGTATATGTAAAATATTTTAGGGTCCTATTCAACTAAAATTTATAAATATTAAATTTTTTTATATATAAATATGTATGTATAAAAAATATTGGGCCCCTTAATTAGTAAAATTGGGGGGACACGGGTTTGGACCCGGGGCGATCACACCGTTTGTCCCCCCATGTAAGTCGGCACTGTGCATCAATCACTTAAAATTCAAAATGACATTGTTACGGAATAATTGGTAGCAATGTGCAAGTAAAAGTGTCTACGAAGAGAAAAAAAAAAAGACCAAATACAACTTTCGCATAATAAAATCAGTATCAAATATGAAATGTAAATATGTAATAGTTTATATCAATAATCTTTTTTTGTAACTTGCTTTAGTTTATCAACTAGGATAAGATTTGCGCCTTGCGCGGGATGAAGCTATTATTTTTATTATGTTTTGAAAAATGAAACAATAGTTCGGTTTCATTTGGATTAGAGGTGTTCAATCCGGATATCGGGTTTCGGTTCGGTTCGATTTTTTGGTATTTCGATTATTAAAATATAACTACTATTCCAAATTTATATGTACTTTAGTTTGATTTAGTTTATATACCATCGGTTTTTAGTTTATTCAATTTTATACCAAAAACATGATTATTTAGTTTGAGATCATATTATATATTATACAAATATATAATATGATCATATTTAGAGTCATATTGTCGCAGAGTCATTTATGAAAAAAAATTATATATTTAAATAAAAGAATAAAAAACAAAAAAAGCTTCTATCATTTAATAAAATGATCAAATCTAGAATTAATATCAAAACACTAAATTTTGAAAATAAAAATAAAAAAACAAAACAGAAGCATGAAAGAAAAGTTTTTATATTATTCCATATTTAGTGTTCATCAAACCAATATGTCTTCGATTGAACACAACTTTGTTTGTTTAAAGATAAAAAAAATTGTAAATAATTTCAACTAATTGTTGTCCATCAAATTTATAATCTTTACTTCAATTTAGTTACTGTTAAAAAAGCAAAAGATCAAAATAAGAAGTCTAAGTTGTAATAAATTATTAGCTATTTACAAATTATAATTATAGTTCAACTCATGTAACAAATAGATATTCATGCGTCGTTATAAATATATACATATTTACATGTTTCCGTTTAATCGGTTATAAATCAAACCATATCCAAATCCTATGGTTTTTATAAAATCACATCCATTCGATTTGTATGGTATATACCAAAAATAACCATATTATCGATTGTTAATATCTTTTAAAAATATATAATTAAAAAAAGAACTAAGATATTTAAATCATTGATAACAAAAAATTTCAATGTGAAAAATTTAATAATTTTATAATTTATAAATGTTCTTGAAAATTTATTGAGGATTTTGAAATTAAAATATTTATGTAATCATATATGGTATATAGTTTAATCTGTATATGTATATTTGTTTTATTATTGAATGATACTTTTTACTTATATGGTTTTAAAATCATGTATATCTTTTTATAATAAAAATGTTAAACTATTGATCATTAATTTTTAACATAATAATTTTAATAGTTTAGTTATTTATTCTCGTGTTTTAAAATTCAAAATATAACCTATATGAAAAAATCTAAAGTTTAATTTTATAGCTAATTTGATTGTTTAATTTATTTTAATAATATAAAATTAAAGAAAAATGATGGAAGATATATAAACTGTTATCAAATATTTATTATTAGAATCATTAAGTGTCATATATATATATTAGTCATTTATGGTAATTCCGTAGGTTTTATTTATGGAAAGAAAATAAAATCTTATATATTAAAACAGAAGTCATGACTTTATTTCATGTGTGATTTCTAAAAAAATGGACTGTTACTAGAAAGTTATGTTACATTAACTCTCTAATAATATTATCATTATTTTATCTTATAATATGCTTAACAATTTTGTTTTGGTAAATTACTCCACACCTTCCAACTTAGTCACACAAAATATGTCAATAGATATAAATTTAGGAATCTTCTATTATTTATAAGGAAATATGTCAATAATAGTTAAATGCATCCAGAATATATTAACAAAAATCACAAATTATTAATATGTAATATTTATATACCTTAACAAAATTTATACGTTATATATATTAGATAAATTTATTTCGATGTAAAATTTTAAAATTGTATTTTAAAAAAAAAAAGAAATTGTTTAAAAAGTTCCTTTTTAATAAACTTTTTATAATATTAATTTATGAAGCTATAAGTTTAGTTTTTAGCAAAACCATTCTTCGAAGTTTATATTATCTTTGCAAATTAAATTACACTAATATTTAATCAAGCTCTATTTATATTACTTTATCTAAAAATGAAATACTAATCTAACAAACAATAAAATATAGAAGAAGAAACAAACACATGTTTGAAAGTCATGTATAATATAGAAAATTTGAAACAATCTATTTGATTAAAACACTTATTATA